ACTTTGGCCACCTGATGCTAAGAGCTGACTCATTGGCAAATACCCTGATGCTGGGAGGAATTTGGGGCAGGAGGAGAAGGGGACGACAGAGGATGAGATGGCTGGATGGCGTCACTGACTCGATGAGCATGGGTTTGAGTAAACTCCGGGAGTTTGTGGTGGACGGTGAGGCCTGGCATGCTGCAATTCATGGGGTCATAAAGAGTCAGACACGACTGAGCGGCTGAACTGATGTGTACTATTTTTCATAGGCAACAATAGAACAGCTCTTTATTTATTTATTTATTTATTTATTTATTTAAATCTTTGACTAGCATTTTTATTTTTTTCCTTTTATTTTTATTAATTGGAGGCTAATTACTTTACAATATTTTAGTGGTTTTTGCCATACATTGACATGAATCAGCCAGGACATGGAAGTGACCTAGATGCCTATCAGCAGACGAATGGATAAGAGCAGCTCTTTAATTTCAGAGTTCTCTAAAAATTTACCAGTTTAGAAGTTTCTCCTATTTCAAGAATGCATTGTCTGGCCATTGATGAATATTATCTTGTGAGCATGCTAAGTTGCTTTAGTTGTGTCCTACTCTATGACCTTCTGGATTGTAGCCTGCCAGGTTCCTCTGTCCATGGGATTTTTCAGGCAAGAGTACTGGAGTTGGTTGCCATGGCCTCCTCCAGGGTGATCTTCCAAATCTAGGGATTGAATCCTCATCTCTTACATCTCCTGCATTGATAGGTTGGTTCTTTACCTCTAGTGTCACCAGAGAAGCCCTGAATAGTATCTAAATACTGATTCAAACTAATAAGACACAAGAGGCATTCTCAGAATAGAATGCAAAGGATGCCACCTTCACAAGATACAGAAAGCTTATTCCCCAAAATAGTCTAAGAAATTAATGCCTTTGTTGTACAGGTAGACACAGCAAAGATTGAAATGACAAAGGCCCTTTATGGGCTAGGATTCTTTTTTTTTTTCCCCTTTCTTTTAATTGGAGGCTAATTACTTTACAATATTGTGGTGGTTTTTTTCCCGTACGTTGACATGAATCAGCCATGGGTTTACGTGTGTTCTCCATCCTGAAACCCCTCCCACATCCCTCCCCATCCCATCCCTCAGGGTCGTCCCAGTGCACCAGCCCTGAGCACCCTGTTTCATGCACCTAACCTGGACTGGTGATTTATTTCACATATGATAATATACATGTTTCAATGCTATTCTCTCAAATCACCCCACCATCGCCTTCTCCAAAAGTCTGTTCTTTACATCTGTGTCTCTTCTGCTGTCTCGCATATAGGATCATCGTTACCATCTTTCTAAATTCCATGTATATGTGTTAATATATTGTATTGGCGTTTTTCTTTCTGACTTACTTCACTCTGTATAATAGGCTCCAGTTTCATCCACCTCATTAGAACTGATTCAAATGCATTCTTTTTAATAGCTGAGTAATATTCCACCACGTATATGTACCACAGCTTTCTTATCCATTTGTCTGTCGATGGTTGTCTGTCTAGGTTGCTTCCATTTCTTGGCTATTGTAAACGAGGCTGAGATGAACATTGGGGTACACGTGTCTCTTTCAATTCTGGTTTCCTCGGTGTGTATGCCCAGCAGTGGGATTGCTGGGTTGTATGGCAGTTCTATTTCCAGTTTTTAAAGGAATCCCCACACTGTTTTCCATAGTGGCTGTACTAGTTTGCATTTCCATCAACAGTATAAGAGGGTTCCCTTTTCTCCGCACCCTCTCCATCATTTATTGTTTGTAGGCTTTCTGATAGCAGCCATTCTGACCTGTGTGAGATGGTACTTCATTGTGGTTTTGATTTGCATTTCTCTGATAATGAGCGATGGTGAGTATCTTTTCATGTGGGCTAGGATTCTTTATGACAAATTTTTCCAAGAGCTGGCATAGCCAGACAAAATGACTGCTTGAAATCCCAGTTGATTCAATTGCCTGCCAAATGTACACCATATGTATACCTTCCCATGGCAGAGACTTAGCTCTCAAGACACAGAATCAAATGCCTAACAAGTCAAGATATAACATTCACATCTCAAAGGCACAAGGAGAGAAATGCAAATTCCCCCTGGATGGGCTTTGTTCCTTTAAGGTCAGAAGTTTGAAAAGATGTTTTATCAGGCTGACTTTCTTTTAATCAGTCTTGAAATGTCAAAAGAAGCTTATCTTGGCCACTTTAGACCAAAATTTCCTTTGATTTCCAATTAAGCAAGTACCTATAAGAATAAATTCTGCATGAGACAAGTGCTTGGGCCTGGTGTACTGGGAAGACCCAGAGGGATCGGGTGGAGAGGGAGGTGGGAGCGGGGACCGGGATGGGGAATACATGTAAATCCATGGCTAATTCATTTCAATGTATGACAAAAACCACTGCAATGATGTAAAGTAATTAGCCTCCAACTAATAAAAATAAATGGAAAAAAAAAAGAAGAAGAATAAATTCCATAGGTACATAAACAAGGCTTGAGTGTTAGTTGGAGGCTGACTTTCTGTTGGCCCTCATTTCACCCAGTCTAGACCACTCAGTGTCTTTCAACTGAGTAAATCCTCATGGCTTTCAACCAGGCTCCCCCAGTATCTTTAAACTGGGGTCAGGGGAGGCGGAGGCTAGATCCCTGCTGTATACCACAGAATAAAACTCAGGACATCAGCCAATAACTGGGAGATCCAAGAACTAGGAGGGACTCATCCAAATTTGTCTAAGTTCACAGAGGAGAAGAATGGGACAAGAGTCCTTGATGGTATCAGGGCTCCAGATCTTTGTAGAGTTCAGGCAAAGGTATGAAGTCTGCTCTGGGTCCCTTTGTGATCACCAATGCCATTGAATGAAAGAGAAGCTCACAATGTAAAATTCAAGTCAAGTTTTATTTGTGACCTTACTGAGGACTATAGTCCAGAAGATAGCCTCTCAGATAGCTCAGAGGAACTGGTCTGAAGAAGTAAGGCAGGAGCCAGGACATACACACAAACTTTTTTGGTGGGAAAAACATGTAGTCAAGCATCAAAAGGTTACTGCTAATCACATGGAAGAGAAATCTTATAATTTTATAAGATTTATAATAATTTTAGTGCTTTTCTCTGTATGGGAAAACCTAAGAATCTGGGGTCATTTGAAAATTTCCCTTAGATATGTGTCTTAACTATCTAAGGAGTCAATATACCCAAAGCACAGAATGTTTCCTGTCTTTCTTTATCCTGAATTCCCTTCAGAGTACACTGTCTCTGGGCAACTGTGGTGGCTAATAGCTTGATCCTTGTACAAACTGGAATGGCAGGCAACATTTTTTTTTCTTTATACAAGAGATGGAAAATGAGCAGAGTTGGGTCCCAGGAAAACTAAAAGACTCTACACATAACCAAGATGGCAAACCAAGTATATTACCCTTGGTTCCTCAACCAATTTTTTTTTTTTTTTCATTTCATAGGAAGTTTGGATGTTTCTTTCTGTCAAATCCCCTCTATATCCCTCAAATAAATAATTATTTTCAAAATTTAGGTGATAAGGGAAGATCTACTGAGAAATATGGCTCCCTTCTTGACACTTGAAGCCATAATTTAACCAGAGATCAAAAAAGGAGGAGGAACAATGCCCAAGAAATGAGGGGAGAATAAACCATTTCTACAAGCCCTTCTCTGCATTGCTGAGTTCAGGCTAGAGAAGAGCGGAAAGGAATGAACTATGAAGCTGCTAAGAGGGTTGTGGATACAAGTCATTCATATTTATAAAGCAAATTACAGGCTATTCTTCTTTTGTTTGTTTGAGGACTATGGGAATCATAGAATGGGGGCAAAGAAATGGGAAGAAAAATGGAAAGAGTGGTGGTGGCTGTGTTATTGGAACATTTCTTAAATTGTCTAAGTGAAAATGTTTGAAAAATTTTGCTCTGTGCTAATCTTTAAATCTTGGCTCCCTCACAGCTCCTGGAAGAGATCAATCAGGTCAGTTTTCCCTTTTCTCTGTTCCTCCTGGTCTCTGGGCATTGGTCCTCCCAGCCAGCACTACCTGTCCCCATAAATGAGGCCTGTGGTAATGCACCAACATCAGTGATGTTGCTACTCTGAGGTCACCCCTGTTGCGATAGTGGGTGAGCAAACCCTCCTCTGATCTTTCTTGTCTTCAGTTCTTTCCCTATTACTGAATGCCATAGTGTAAAAGGGAAGAAAATGTTTGCAGAAGGAATGACAGAGGCAGGAAACTGAGGTTTAAAGAACCTCAGATCTAATCTCTATTCCCTAAGACCCCACCCTCTGTATGTCCAAGCTGGTGCCACTATAAAAGAACACAGAAATAGCTCCTATTCACAGAGGCCAAATCTTTATATATCTCCAAAAGAAACTCATGTCACTGAACAGTTCCAATTTCTGGTCCCATTGGTCATTTGCAATTATATACACAAATATGATTATGCAAGCAGTCCATGCCCCTTTGTTTAATCTTTTTTTGTGTGTCGTGTGTCAATTGCTGATTATGTTCACCTTAGGTGGAGAGTTGAAAAATGTTGCCCTCTCCATAGAATCTAAAATTAAGCAAGGCTTAAAAGAATTGTAAGTGAAAAAAATCTTGCTCATTAAATATTAACAACCAAGGAGGAACTGGTTTTTCAGTCTAGAAACTGCTTCTGAGGTATATACATCCCAGGTTCATTTTACCTTGACAAGAATGTGTAGGACAAGAGCTTTCAGAATCAGCCCACTTACAGAGGCCCTCAACTATAGCTCAGTCTTCACCCATCTATAAATCATATCTCCTGAACTTTTCTGAGCCCATTCCAGGAACCTACCCCCCACTACCACTAGGCAAAAAAAAAAAAAAAAAAAAAAAACCACACCAAAAAACACAGATTCTGTATGAAGTATTTCTCCAAGTTAATACCTCCACATGGAGGTATTAGCCCAGAAAAACTTCTAGTTGCAGCTGGGCCTTTCCCTATGTTCCACCCACCTCCCATTCACCTTCACAGGCCTTCATCTTCCTAGTTCCTTTTTAGGAGTAACTCTAAAAGCTTTCTTTCTCCTCAACCCTCCATGGTCCACAAACTTCCACAAAGACAAAATGACTCTCACATGCAGGGGTTCCCTTTCTCTACCCCAAGGAGACATATCTTGGTATTATAATGAGAATTTGTTGAATAAAAAATCTGAAGAGATCCAAATAGACAAGACTGGATATTACAAATGCAAGACCCAAAGATCTTCTCTCAGTGACCCCATACATGTGGATTTTTCACTTGGTGAGAAAGGAAAGGGGGTGGTTGCTGAACCTAAACCCCTGGGCAGTATGTCTAAGGGCTGGGCAAGTGCAGGGAGCTAAGATAAGATTGTAAATAGGCATGAGAATATTTGATGTACTGACCCCAGTGGGGAAAATAAGGAGATAAGGCAGCAACAGGATGCTGTCTTGTCCATCTTGTCCATCCAGAGAAGTATAAGTCAGAAATCACCAGGTAAAAGGGATTCAAGTCTGAAGAAAGATGAGGTATAAAATTCCTCTCTTAACAATATGCATGGGGATTTCTTAAGGACATTTTCTCCCTAGGATAAGGGAGAATTAGATTTGGGGACCATGTAGAAATACTGATGGAGGATATTTTCAGGGGTACAGGATTGTAGCTCTTTCTTTATGAGAAAATGAGAGTTTGAAGAAAGAAGCATTGAGGAATAAACTGAGTGTATTCCTCTACTCTTTGCAGACAAGCTGACCCTTCAGGCTCCAGACTCTGTCTTTGAAGGAGATGAGGTTGTTCTCAGATGCCAGGCGAGAGGAGAAGCAAAAGAAATACATTTTTACAGAAATGAATATCAAATTCAACCAAACTTCACTCTAAAGTCAGTCTCCAGGAACGATGACAAATATCACTGTTCTGCTCTTATAAGAGGCTTTTGGGGATGGAAGAAAGAAAATTCAAAACATCTATCGATTCAAATTCAAGGTAATGGCTGCCCTCCTGTGGGTAATATGACTCATTGGGGAAACTGTGTGTGACGATTTAGGGAGTGGTTCATCAATGGGGATTTCATGAAACGCCTCCTGTTCTAGGAGGGAGATGGGAGGTGATTCCACCTGCTTGGGTCCCTGTGTTCTACTGGCTGATGCTGAGTGCTCATATGCATCTTTCCAGGATGCCTGAGCTGTGCTACTCTGAGAACTGTGTTTCTTCTTCCCTCTAGAGCTGTTTCCCCCTCCTATGCTGATATCCAGACCCTCCTCACCCACAGAGGGGAGCCCGGTGACCCTGAAATGTGAGACGTGGCTCCCTCCACAGAGGTCAGACATTCAGCTTCGATTCTGCTTCTTCAGAAAAGATGAGGCTTTGGGGTCAGGCTGGAACAGCTCTCCAGAGCTCGAATTACCCACTGTGTGGAGTGAAGATGCAGAGTCTTACTGGTGCCAGGCAGAGACAGTGACTTCACGTATCAGAAAAAGAAGCTTGAGATCCCAGTTATATGTGCAGAGTGAGTATTTATGGAGTTGCTCTTCCAGAGTCAGAGCTGGGGAGATGAGAGCAGAGCAATGATGTTTCCTGCTCTCTGGGACAGTGAACATAACTGAGAGGAGCTTTCTGCTATCCTGATATCCTTCTCATGTCAGGTTCAACACTGGCCTAATGTCCCTAGAACACTCTCTTCCATCTAACTCAGTTAATAGCAATTGTTGATCAACTGCTGGGTCCCCAGCCCTTTGAGGGTGACAGAGCCGCATAGCATATGTTCCCTCAAGAGTCACAGATAATTAGAAGTACAGATGACCACATGCAGTCTTTAGAGGTCCCTATGCTTCTTCCATTTGTTGACCTAAACATATTCCAAAAGGAAAAGAGGACGTTAAACACGAACTGGTGTAATCAGAAAATAACGTGGGAAGATGCGGGTGAGACTGGAGAAGAGTCTTGAAGGATAGGAGAGGGATTTGAATTTCAGGACAGAAGTAATATTCTCAGAGTTCTGTTTCTTTTGAACAGAAGTAAGACCACTTTTATTTTGTGGTCATTGGTGCACCAAAGTGTCCTTAAGTATAAATGTCCATAAAATGTGACTGCTATCAATATTAGGTTTAAGATCAAGAACCCATCCCCACATTCTCCAAGGATGGGAACTGTTGTGTGTGGTGCAAGGGTACCTTTATAATAACATACACGATTAATTCCCTGTTTCTCACTTTGGCCCCTGCTTACTGCGTCTGCTGCTGTTGACTTATTCATGGCAGAACCAGCCTTCTCCTTGACCCTGAAGTTTCTGCCATGAGAATCTTCATGTGTCATCTTGTGTCCTCCCAGGAATCCCTGTGTCTGATGTAAATCTAGAGATCCAGCCCCCTGAGGGGCAGCTTACTGAAGGAGAAAATCTGCTCCTTATCTGCTCAGTAGCCAAAGGAACAGGGACTGTCACATTCTCCTGGCACAGAGAGGGCACAGTAAGAAGTTTGGGAAGAAAGACCCAGCGCTCCTTGTCGGCGGAGCTGCAGATACTCACTGTGAAGGAGAGCGATGCTGGGAGATACTACTGTGCCGCTGACAACATTCACGGTCCCATCCTCAGTAAACTGGTCAGAGTCACACTGAGCAGTAAGTTCTCAATTCCTTCTATTCAGCCTCAGTTCACAGCCAGGGTTTAGCTTATCAATTTGCCATGAAGCTCTTTGGAAGGAGGCAAAGGAATAGAGGTGTAAAGATTTAGAAGCTAACTAATGAATGGCAAAGATGACAAAAGCTGAAGACATCTTATGTCTTGTGGAGCAAACTGAAAACAGTAGTAGTGATGAAAGCAAAATCATCTAAGATTACTCTTCATGGTTCAGTCAGTATATCTATATTTAGACTTCCCTGGTAGCTCAGTTGGTAAAGAATCTGCCTGCAATGCAGGAGACCAGGGTTTGATCCCTGGGTTGGGAAGATCCCCTGGAGAAGGAAATGGCAATGCTGTCCAGTATTATTGCCTGAAAAATCCCATGGATAAAAGAGTCTGGCAGGCTAGTCCATGGGGTCATAAGAGTTAGACACAACTTAGCAACTAAACCACCACCAGGCTTCTTGGGTTTGGTTACGAGTCTGGCACAGCATCAGAGTCCTCTGACAACTCTTTTGTATCTTTCAGTTCCAGTATCTCGCCCTGTCCTCACCGTCATGTCTCCTAGGATGAAGGCTATGGTGGGGGATGTGGTGGAGCTTCACTGTGAGTCCCAAAGTGGCTCTCCTCCTATCTTGTACCGATTTTATCATGAGAATGTCACCCTTGGAAGCAGCTCAGTTCCCTCTGGAAGAGCAGCCTTCAAATTTTCTCTGACTGTGGAACATTCTGGAAACTACTCCTGTGAGGCTGAGAATAGCCTGGGGGTCCAGCGCAGTGACAGGGTGATTCTCAGTGTCACAGGTGAGTAGGATATGTCTACAGCAGTTACAGACAAGAACAGAGTATGTCCTTTCCTTTGGGCTATTTGCTGGTGCGACATTCCATCAGATGCCTTGTTTTTCTGCCTCTACTGGAGAGTCCTGGGATTCTTTCTTCTGACAATACATTCAGGAACTTAGGCCATTCCTAATGTTTTTCCTACATTTCTTGAGATGATCATATGGTTTGTATTCTTCACTCTATTAATATGGCATATCATGTTGATTGGTTTGAAAATGATGAACCATCCTTGCATACATGGAATAAGTCCCACTTGATTATAGGGTGTGATCTTTTTAAAGTATTGTTGTGTTTGGTTTACTAATAGCTTGTTGAGGATTTTTTGTGTCTATGTTATGTGAGATAATGGCCTATAATTTTCTTTGTCTGGTTTTGGTATCAGAATGCTGGCTTTGTAAAATGTCAGGAAGTAATCCTTTCTCTTCAGTTTTTTAAAAAATATTTTGAGAAGAATAGGATTTAAATCTTTTTGACTACTTGGTAGAATTTAACCTGTGAAGTCGATGGGCATGAGCTTGAGTAAACTCCAGGAGCTGGTGATGGACAGGGAGGCCTGGCATGCTGCGATTCATGGGGTCGAAAAGAGTCGGACATGACTGAGTGACTGAAATGACTGACTGACTGACTGAACCTGAGAAGTCATCTGATCCTGTGCTTTTTTATTCTTGGGAGTTTTTGATTACTGTTTTCCTCTTTACCCGTGATTGGTCATTCAAATTTCACTTTTTATGGTTCAGTCTTGGAAGGTTGTATGATTCTAAGAATTTGTCCATTTATTCTAGGCTACCCAGTTTGTTGGCATATCAGTTTAGTTCAGTTCAGTCACTCAGTCGTGTCCAACTCTTTGCGATCCCATGAACCACAGCACGCCAGGCCTCCCTGTCCATCACCAACTCCCGGAGTCCATCCAAACCCATGTCCATTGAGTCGGTGATGCCATCCAACCATCTCATCCTCTGTTGTCCCCTTCTTCTGCCCCAAATCCCTCCCAGCATCAGGGTCTTTTCCAATGAGTCAGCTCTTAGCATCAGGTAGCCAAAGTATTGGAGTTTCAGTTTCAACATCAGTCCTTCCAATGAACACCCAGGACTGATCTCCTTTAGGATGGACTGGTTGGATCTCCTTGCAGTCCAAGGTGGTCTCCAACACCACAGTTCAAAAGTATCAATTTTTCAGCCCTCAGCTTTCTTCACAGTCCAACTCTCACATCCATACATGACCACTGGAAAAACCATAGCCTTGACTAGATGGACCTTTGTTGGCAAGATAATGTCTCTGCTTTTTAATATGCTGTCTAGGTTGGTCATAACTTTCCTTCCAAGGAGTAAGCGTCTTTTAATTTCATGGCTGCAATCACCATCTGCAGTGATTTTGGAGCCCCCAAAAATAAAGTCAGCCACTGTTTCCACTGTTTCTCCATCTACTTGCCATGAAGTGATGGGACCGGATGCCATGATCTTAGTTTTCTGAATGTTGAGCTTTAAGCCAACTTTTCCACTCTCCTCTTTCATTTTCATTGAGAGGCTCTTTAGTTCCTCTTCACTTTCTGCCATAAGGGTGGTGTCATCTGCATATATGAGGTTATTGATATTTCTCCCAGCAATCTTGATTCCAGCATATATAACTGTTCATAATATTCTTATATCCTCTGTATTTTTGGACATTCATTGTTATAGCTCCTCTTTTGCTTCTGATTTTATTTATCAAACCTTTGTATCATTTTTCTTAGTGACTCTAGCAACAGGTTTGTCAGTTTTTGTCCATCTTTTAGAAGAAGCAGGTCTTAGTTTTTATCAATCTTTTGTATTTTGCTCCTAGTGTATATGTCATTTCTCTTCTAATCTATATCATTTCCTTCCTCATACTGACTCTGGGCTTTATTTGTTCTTTTTCTAGTTCCTTTATGTGTAAAGTTAGATTTTTTATGTCATATTTTCATTTTCATTTGTCTTCATTTTTTTCATTTCTCCTTTGCTGTCTTGTTTGACCCAATAGTTGTTCCTCAGCATGTTATTTAGTCTTCACATATTTGTGATTTTCCAGATTTCTTTTTGTGGTTGATCTCCAGTTTCATACCATTGTAATCAAGACAGATGGTTGATATGATTTCAATCTTAAAGTCATTGAGACTTGCTTTGTGTTCCAATATATGGTCAATCGTTGAGAAAGTTTCATGAGCAACTAAGTATGTGTATTGTACTGCATTTGAATGGAATGTTCTATATAAATTTATCAAGACTCCCTGGTCTAATGTTTCTTTTAAGGCTGTTATTTCCTTGTTGACTTTTTGTCTGTATGATCTGTTCATTAATGTAGGTGAGGTGTTGTAGTTCCCTATTATTATTGTGTTGCTCTCCAATTCTCCCCTTAGGTCTGTTAATAATTGCTTTGTATATTTGGGTGCTGCTATGTTAGCTACATGTGTATTTATCACTGTTGTATCTTCTTGGTGAATTGTCCCCTTTACCATTATATAACATCAATTTTTGTCCTTTGTTACCTTTCTTGGTTTGAGGCCTATTTCATTTAATATGAGTATGACTACACCCACTTTATTTTGGTTACCATATACATGGAGTATCATCTTCTATTACTCTGTCTAGCCACTCTATGTCTTTTGATTGGTGAATTCAATCCATTTACATTTAAGGTGATTATTGATAAAGAAGAACTTTAGTGCTGTCCACTTTATCTTTTATTTTCTGGTTGCTCTATACCTCCTTTTTTTCTCCTCTTAAGGTTTTGCATGTCATCTTGGTCTTGTGGCTTTCTATGATATTTTTCTCAATTTCCTTTTTTTTTTTTTTTGTATCTCTGTTTTAGATTTATGTTATGTGGCTACCTTGAAGTTTGCATAAAACCTCTCATAGATAAAGTAGTCCATTTTCTGTATTCTGGCCTGGAGAATCCCATGGAAAGAGGAGCCTTGGTGGGCTACAGTCGATAGGGTCACAAAGAGTTGGACACAACTGCTGCACACACTGCTAATAACATTTTATTTTCATTTACCTATGTGAGTTCTATTCTTTCCCTCTTGCTTTTTTATATTTTTGTCTCAAATTATCTCTTTTTATGTTGTGAGATTGCTACCAAATTGAAGTAAGCAATAGTTTTTTTTTTTTTGCTTCCCCCTTTTACCTTTATGCTATAATAAAGTATTTAAAGCCTTTTCTGAGTTGGAATTTTCTGATTCTATATATAACTTTCTTCAAAGTATTGTGTATTTTTGCCCTTTTGTTTTTAGTAGAGAGCTTCTTTAAACATTTGTTATAAGCAGAACCAGTGTTGATGAATTCCCTCAGCTTTCATTTGTCTGGGCAGAGCTTTGTTTTTCCTTCACATACGAATAATAACTTTGCTAGAAAAAATAGTCTTGAGTGACACTTTTTATTTTTCAGTATTTTGAGAATGTCACTCTATTCCCTCTTGTCCTGTAGAGTTTCTGTTGAGAAACCTGATCATAGGCTCACGGGGATTCTCATGTAGTTACCATCCTTTTTTCCTCCTGGCTGCCTTAAAAATCCTTTCTTTGTCATTGACTTTTGACAATTTTAACATAATATGTCTTGTGCAAGGTCTTTTTGCATTGAGGTAATTAGGTGTTAGCTTCATGAATTTGTATACCCAATTTCTTTCCTAGGTTTGGGAAGTTCTCAGCTATTATTTGTTTAAATATACTCTCTCAGTTATTATTTGTTTAAATATAACTGAGAGACTTCCCCTTCTCCTGTATTCTCCTGGGATACCCCTTACTCTAATGTTGCCTTTTCTAAGAGTCATATAGCTTCTGGAGAATTCCTTCATTTTTAAATTATCTTACTTCTCTCTCCTCAAATACTTGTAGCATTTCTAAATTTCTATCATCAAGCCTGTTAATTCTCTCTTTCATACAGTCTAATCTATTTCCAAAGCTTTCCAATGCATTATTCTTAACATTTACTGAGTTCTTCAATTCCAAAGTTTCTGTTTGGCTCTTTTTTTAGAGTTTTAGTGTCTCTGGCTTTTTTTTTTTTTTTTTTTTTCCTGTTTGCTAGTTTTATTTCTGAGCTCGTTAGTTTGGCTTTCTGATTTTTCTTGCAGCTTGCTGAGTTTCTTCATGAAAGCCATTTTGAATTCTTTCTCAGTTAGATCATAATATTTTATGACAGTAAGTTTGGTTTCTGGAGAATTGCCATTTTCTTTTTGTGGTACAGCGTTACTGTGATTCTTCATGGTACTTGAGTTTTTCCTCCGCTGGTGCGTTTGATGTTGTGTTAGAAATTAGAGGCCTTTCTTTTGTTTTCCAGTAGTTGGTGCTATGGCATAAGTTTTGTTTTCTCACACCTAGGCTTGCTCTGGTTATATTATATTTGGGAGTAGTCCCTTTGCATCCTCCCACGTCTCTGCAAAAGGTGTGGCTCTGGTACCACTTCTTGTGTCTCTGGGGTTAGTTAGTGCCGCTTTGCCCCCGGAAGTGATGCATTATTGTCACCTGGTGCCTCAGGGTGGAGGGCTCTTCCCTCATGTCTGGGATCCCCTGAGTCATCGTTTCACCAAAGCAGGGAGAAAGAAAGGGTAGGAGGGGAGCCAGGGTGAGACTGGCTCCTCTGCCTTGTCTCTTGTTGGAAAGTTTGTGGATTCTGATGCTGCGGGTTAAGGGGTAGGGACCAGAACTGGGTTCATGGGGAACCCATTAAAAAAATGAGTAAAGGACTTGAATAGGCATCTCTCCAAAGAAGATATATAAATGGCTATAAATACACACACACACACGCTTGCGGGCACACAAAGCTCAACATTATTCATTATTAGGGAAATTCAAACCAAAAAAACCTACAATGAAATACTACCTATACTCATTAGGATGGATACTATAAAAACAAAACAAAACAGAAAATAACAAGAATTGGCCAGGATGTGGAGAAATCGGAGTCCTTGTGTAATCCTTGTGAGTGATCACATCGTCATGGTTATTTGGGTCA